CGTTTTTTTTGTTTTTTTTATAAAATGAACAAAAATATTTGAAAATAGGAATACCAGTTAAAAAACACTTCACCAGTGTTTTCAAAGAAATCTGTATTTTGTGTTGAGCACAACAGTGAGCTGACCATAATTGAGATATAATGCTACCATAGTTACGTTAGTAGCACTGTTCACGTGGCATAAATGTACTGTTAACAGATACAAATGACTTGATTTCATAGCTGCTTATTGCTGGTACTACAGCTCTAACATTACAATTATGCCGAAAGAAACCCATCTCATCTTACAAGCTGGTAATCAGATAAGTTTTTGTAGGAAATACGAGCATCTGTAATTATTTGCAAAATAGCACGTATATTCATGCGATAATCTAGGATATATACTCAATAAATAAATATATATGCAATAAACACAAGTACATACATTAACTCCACATGCCACAGAGAGATATGAAATGAGAGAGAAGCATCAGACTTACGTTATGTTAACAGTTGAAGGGGCTCGTGTTGTTAACAATACAGTTCCAGAAGGTGTAGTCGTACTCTGATAGCCTGTGGTGGTAGATAATTCTGAAGTGGTAAGTATCACAGTAGTGGCAGTCGTGGTAGACATGGATGTGCTGGTTGGGGGCACTTCAGTTGTCGTACTAACACTCAAGGTGGTGGGAATAAGCGTTGTGGGCTCGTCAGTGGTAGTGGGCACAGATGTCGTTGGCACTTTGGTGGATGGTTCAGCTGTTGTGGGTTCTAAACTAGTAGTAGGTTCAGCGGTGGTGGTTGGCACAATCGTTGTCACTGTCGTTGTTGATCGCCTATGATGGTGGTTGTGGTATCTGCAACAGTAGAGGCTTCTCTGCTTGTGTGAACAGCACCTGTTGTTGCAGAATGTGTAGGTGTGTTAGATGAAGTACCTGGAACTTCTGTTAAAAAGAAGGTGGTGGTCTCTTCATCAATCATGGTTGATTCCCTTGTGGTTATAAAGGGTAATTCAGTTGTCATGGAAATAGGGGTTGTGACTACTTCCTCTGTTGTAGCGGTAGTCATAAAGGGTGTTGAGGATGGCGGACTTTCTGTGATTCTACCTGCCAATGAAGATGTTGAAATATCAATCGTTGGCTGTTCTCTCTCAGAAGAAGATTGTGCAGTGCTAGGAGTAATATGGGTGGATAAAGTGGTGGATCTAATCTGGGTCGTGCTGGGTAGTGTAGACAAAGGCATACTCTCATCTTGTGTAGCATCTTCAAAGCTTGCACCAGCGGTGATTTGTACCGTTGAAATTGTTGTAGTAATTGACTGATCTGTGTCTTGATGTTCCAAGTTATCAGATTCATCATAGGTTTCGAATACAGGTACGTTGATAGTGAAAACGTCTCCTGACTGTCTTACTGAATGAAGTTCCATCGGTGTGTTTTGCATGTTCATACTGGTGGATGCAGCTATATCTGTTGGAACAATCCAGTGCATCCACAAATGCTGTCAAGATTAATACATATTCCAACCAGATGATGTATACATTGCTGTGTACACAGTGTTATATTTAAGATGGATTCTTGATGGATGGTTAGTCTTGTGAAGTGAACCAGATACTACTTCTCAAATATTGACTTGGATTCTTGATGGATGGTTAATCTTGTGAAATCACCTAGATGAACAATGCCATGGCTAGTACTGACCGGTATGTCAGCAACATGACACAGTGAACAACACACGTTTCTGCTACAAACTGCAATCTTACAGCAATGCAATTACATTGCAGCGTGTTTTCATTTATGCATGGTAAATTCATCAACAGCAAATTTATAATTTTATGATGGAATCTGAATGATCAGAATAAAGCTGCCTCTTAAAACCGCTTACTGTCTTCCGTCAAATATTGGTGACTGATAATGATAAACGAATTCGTGCATTATGTCAATTGATCAAATGTTGAATATAAGTGCATTAGAGATGAATAAAGATAAGTAAGTTTAGGTAGTGCTAGGTTGAGCAATACAACATGGATGCTATGCAAAATGGGAACCGATTATTATTAAATATGCTGGGAGGTGTCTTATCTTGTTAGGAATATAAAGTTGTCTGTGATGATGTGCCAACATGCCATTTAAATAAATCTCACCTGGCATTGATTCCCCTTTCGCATCTACAGAGGTTAGCTCATGAGTTGATATAGGAAAAGAAGTGTGCACCTTTGTTGATGGTAGGGGAGTGGAAGACTTCATTGCAGTTGTGGATTTACTTGCGTCCTCCTGGATAGCTGTTGATTCTAATATAGTAGGGGGCAGGGTGATTTGCTCTGTGGGATGTGACATGCTTGAATGCTGACTTACGTCGCGTGCAGAAGTGCTGAACCTGGTGCTGGTTTCTAAATGTTTAGATGCTGTCTCACTCGAAGAAGATTCTAAAGGCAGTACTGTAGATGATAACATTTCTAAAGATTCAGATGGCGTATCGGTGTGTAGTAGCGTATCATAGACCGTTGACATTGAGCTGGATTTTTTAACTGTTTGGACATCAACTTCCGCAGTATATATCCCAGTAATATCACCATCAGAAGAGTATATAGGAGAGGTTTTGTCTGTCCCAGCATTGTCATCAGTGGAGGTTGTTTCACCCACCATTGGCCATTCTCCTGTATTTTGAGATGTCAGTGGACTTGTTCGTGCGTCTGTTGTTAACATTGTTGTAAAAAGTGAGGTGGTTTCAACTGACACTGGTTCAATAGTTTTAGTATTAGGTATCACTCCAGCATCAGGTCTTGGTGGTTGAGCGGTGATTGAAGTTAATAAGCTCTTCACAGTTGAATCAATGCTTGGATGTGTGACATGTGTCACGTGTTTCTGCTCATGGGTGAGGGAACCAAGACCATCAGTATAAAGTGCATGGTGGACAGTGTATACATTGCTAGCTTCATTCACAATAGTGGGGTGCAGTGCACTTGTGCTGGGAATTGTGCTAGGTATTGTTGTGCTTATTTTAAAATCTGTTGCAGTCATACCTGTCAAGATATCAGTTCTACGTCCAGAAGGTGTTGTTTGTGGCATTGTTTGACCATTCTCTGATATGATTGCTGCTGCTTTCGGTGTGT